TTCCCTTCTACCTCTTGGGAACACACTGGCCTCTACCAGCTGCAAGACTGATCTCCAAGTTGTCATTCCCCAGTCCAAAGGAATGATGCAAACACTGGTGAGTGCATGTGTCTGCTTCTTAATTAATTAATGAAGTACCGTCTGTCTGTGTGTGGTTACTATCCCACCACTTCTGATACTTAAGCAGTTGTCCATGTAAAAGTAAATATAATGAAGCACATTAACAAGAGCCAGTGTTCTGCCCTCTGTTTGAGTGCATTTGGTTTGTTTATTGTGAGTCATGCAGCACTGCCCCCTGTGGGTTATACGGCAGCAGTAATCTTGAGAGAAAGTTAAGTCAGACTTTGTAGCCTGCAGGGTTTATGTTGCGACGATCCGTTACTTCTCAGCGTTGTGCCTTGGACATCATTTGAGTGTTGTTTAGCTGTTCTCTAGATATTATGAGGAGGAAGTGTACTGTGATGAGGTTTGTTAGAACTAATATCGTTATGAGCCAGCTGTTTAATTCGGTAGGCTATGTTGAGCAGTGAGACTGTGTTGTGCTAATTTCCGTTTTGTCGTTTGTGTTTTGTTGCAGTTTACAAAAAATAAATAAAAAACAAATAAAGTAATTCGCCAGTGAATAACAAGAAACGCCACGCCTTGGTTTTATTGGTGAATTACACCCTGTAAGCTGACTGTCTGGCTTTGAAGACGGACTACTCATGGCGAGGACAGGCGAGGACAGTACAGCCAGACTTTTTAAGCATATCATAGCAGTTGTAGGAAGTGTTGCTCTTCTCAGCTACTCATGGATAACTGTGTGAAAACACAGGCCTGAAGGTTTTCTGTGCCCGAGGCTCAGTTTTATTAGGGACCAGAACGGTACATGAAGCTTTCCAAGCCTAAGATATGCAGTCAACAACTGGATAAACCGATGATGCACATTACCATGGGTGGTCAAGAACTTTTCACAACAGTTGGTTTGACACCATCTGGACCAGATGGTTGCTGGATTAGCAAAAATAAGACAAATCACTCTTCTTCTAAAGAGGAGAGGATCTTTTTTTCTGGACTGAAAAATTCTGCTCCTCAATATTGCCAAGGAATTGCTTTCCTAACTGAAAGAAGTGACTTTGAGGCAAGAGTTACCATAACCAGTAATCCTTGATTCATAGAGGCTGTGAATTCAGTGGACTCTCGAGCTTCCCTGTTTTAATTATGAACTAACACAGTTTTATTTACAGTAGATTCAGAAAGTATTCAGACCATTTCAAGTTTTTCATATTATGCTCCAGGATGTTCCAGGCTCATCTTAAAATGGATTCAGTTCATTTTCCCCCTCATCAATCCACACAGGGTACTCCACACAACACTCTACATTTCCATAAATATTCAGACCCTTTGTTATGACACTTGTAATTGAGCTCTGGTGCATCATGATCATATCATTAGTCACTGAGATGCTTCTAGAGCTTGATTAGAGTCCACCTGTGCCTAATTTAATGCACGGGATATAATTAGGAAAGGCACACACCTGTCTATATAAGCTTTCACAGTTGATGGTCTATGTCAGAGTGAAAACAAAGCCATGAGGTTGAGAGAACTGTCACAGACCTGGGAGACTAGATTATATAAGGACACAGATCTGGGAAGGACACAAGAACATTTCTGCAGCATTGAAAGTGCCCAAGACCACGCCAGCTTCCATCTAGAGATATGGCCACCCAGCCAAACGGAAATGTGTCAAGCTTGTAGTTCATTCTCTGTTGTTGCTGCTCAAAGGTACTTTAATTAAATACTAAGTGCAGAGTCTGAATACTTACATAAATGGGATATTTCAGTCTTTTATTTTAACTATATTAACAAAACACTTTAAAAAGCTGTTTTCACTTTATTATTGTAGAGTATTGTGTGTAGATTGTGAACCCATTTAAAAATCAGTCTGAAATATAAAAAAGTGTGGAAAATTTGAAAACATCCAGATACTTTCTGAATTGACTGTGCATTGTTTCTCACTCAAACACAATATGTGTGTCCTTAAGAACTTAGAAACAGACTGAATTCATACTAACTCACACCTCATAAAACATTTTCAAAGTCTTTTTGGCCACATTATTTACATCAGTGTCATATGCATTGCTGTGTTGCTATTGACCTATAATCGAAACAATTCCAGGACCTGTTCATCAAGACAGTAGTGGACAGAACGCCTCAGGAAACCATTACGACAATGATATTTTTCAGTTTCTTCTGGCCATCTTTCCCTAAAAATTTCCCTACTAAAAAGGCATGGTTTTGCTTTTTCTTTCCTCTTTAATTTCAGTATTTATACATGAAACTATATTTTTAATCATAGAAATCTAGATAGTGCTGGGTGTGGCTTAATAAGCTGATGGCAACATTTCTGTAAATAGCTGTTTATTGTTCAAGACAGTGGACAATAAATTTGCATTAACATTAGCACAAAGGAGTTTTTAGAACCTGAGAATTGGCATTTAAAAAAGTCATTTAGGTAGACTGTGAAGCCAAAACAGCAATGCTGAGATTGGCACTGATAATCAGAACAGTGTCTTATGTAATATGTTTTACAGTAAGTCATGGCAGACTTTAGGTACCATATCTTTACTGGCTGTTCACACAGACAGCTTCCATGATCTTTCAGACAGGACAGTCTTTATACTAAGAACCCTTATAAAGATGAAATGATACATTTCAATGAAAGATATAGAAATCTTGTAATTTAAAATTTCCTTTGGAAGACCGCAGACTAGACATGCAAAAAGACTGACTTGGAAGATTAAGTCAAGTTTAGCCACAAAACCACTGGAACCCAAGTGTAAAATTAATATATTGCTACATCCTACTTGCATCTCGGTTTGTGGCACAAGAAGTTCCTGTGATTAGCTACATGAAATCTAAGAGACTTAATGGTTTGGTGAACTGTCTCCCTCCCTCTTCAGGTCTTCCTGAGCTTGTCTCTCTTTCTTCATTCACTGTACAGTACATTTAGCAGCTGGGCTGAGTTACTGAAGTTATTGATTTGCCTTCTCTCTCTTACTGCTGGCCTTCCCTCCTACACTAGGCTCAAGTACGATGTAACAATTAGCAAACAATGGAAACAGAGACTTTCTTTTTCTTTATGGTGACCAGGTGGCTCCATTCCTCTGCTGGCTGTGGGATGAAGGAGAGTTTTGCATTTTTCAGTGATCCATCAATAAAAAGAGAAGAGAGAAGAGTTCCATCCCAGTTGTTTGTGAATATGTGCAGAGGATTTATGACATTTGTGAGAATTGTAGAGACACTGATAACAAATTGAAAACTAATTATAAATTTCTCTTAAAACATTTTGAGTTAAGATGGATTTGGGGGTAGTCAATGTCAATAATATAGTGCATGACTACATTTCAGGGGGAGAAGTGTAGCAAACAGCCTTTCATTTCAACTGTGGAAGTTAACACTACCTCTCCAGCAGAAAGAATGACCAGTGTTTTCACAGTGTTTAAACCAGCAGAGAAGGAAGGTTGGCTGCTCAGTGCTCAGCCCGTGGCATTCATTTGTTTCTGCTTACTCTTATTAGTCACTGCAGTAAAAGATGTTGAGTTGTGGTCAGATAGCCACTCCTCAGTTTGATCGATTTGAATCTGCCTTTTCACTTCCTCCTCTACGCCACTGTGTGCATGTACAGTGTGCTTTGCGTACTTTGTGTGTGTGTCTGCGCAAACAAACAGGCAAGAACAACTCTTGTACATTACAACATTTTTCATTAGTTCATTGTTTCTTTTAGGTAATATGCATAAAGAACTGAGTGGGTTTGCATTTCCTTATGGCCGACATCTGTGCCAGTGTTTGTCTACCAGCATTACCTTGTTAGCTTGAATGTAAAGGTGCATTAACTAAGATTTTACACACTGTCTGATAAAGTCAATAAAAATGGGATACCCACCTCCATGACACTGTGCTGCCTACAGCGCTTCTGTTGCTATTCCAGCTTCTCTACCCTGCACTGTCAATGTACAGTCTGTAAATTAGCCCCGACTTCACCTAGTAGAGGATATAAGAAGATTTTTTTCAAATCACTAGTAGCCAGCCGTGGAGGATCTCTTGTCAGGTAAAAGTCTGCGGCCAAAAGAGGTCACGTTGTTTTTGCACAGAGTGAGTGGGACAAAGAAAGAGCCAAAACCAGGGTTAACATCAGTTTGGTGTTTTGAGATGGAGACTTCAAATTTGATTCAGATGTGGCATTCTTCCTTTGGGATGTGTTAGCATCTAAAGCCAGGGTGTTTGTTTTCTAACATTAGTGACCTAGCATGGTTAGGATTTTACCTTTGTATTGAATTAATATCATTTTAATTTGGGAGTAAGTTGAGCTTTGTGTTACATTAGTTCTTTGTCACAGTGGCACTAACCAGAGCATTCTACTGCACTGACAAATTTAGTTGTTAGTCAGCTAATGCTAGCTTTGGACTGGAGGTTGCATTTTACAAAGTTTGTCTCAACCAGACATCAGAAGTTTACATTGTAGCATCAGGAAACAGGACATGGTGGGAGGGGCAGAGTGCTAAGGAGCAGCTTATACATCCATGGTGTGAGCTTGTTTTGAGACTCACTAGAGCCTTTAATGGCTGAAAAGAAATTAGACTGAGGGTGGGTTCAGCACTAAATGACCTCATTTATGGTGATGTCATTCCTAATATTATCAGGCTAGAACATGAACAGCCCAGAGCGGAGCAACAAAAACCTCCTGTTTCTAATCTACTGTTAGAGATGTGTCAAGTCAAGCTAGTGGTTTGTTGATAAATTGTTAAAACATTCAGTGAAGTAAGTTAGCACTGGCCCTCAGTGTTTAGAAATAGAAAGTGGTGACTTTGCAATTGTTGCAATTGTCTTCTAAAAGGATTTAGAAGATTTTGGAAGTTCCTTAAAGTCATAGTCAGGTTGTGTCTACCTGGTAGACTTTCTGTAATCCAAAACCTTCAGTATCCTTCATCAGCAGTGTGCCCTGTTGTTTTGCTGAGCAGGATGCACTCTCATTAATTTCACCCACACTCTCTTGGAAATGTAAGAAATTAGCAAGTAAAGCACATGTAGATATGGCAGGTTGATATTAAGTGGACATATCAGAAGGTATGTTTCAGATCAAACTAAGAATACAGTGTAATAGTGTTTGAGGTTTATTTTTTCTTGATAGGGAATCAGTTCTCACCACCTGTAGAAAGACTCCATGGCAAAATGAATTTATACTGGCACCATGTGGTTGAAATGGGGCATCACAGCCCAGGTTCAGCTCAGGGTAGTGTACTGTACAGTTTAACTTTAATCAGTAAGCGGTTTTTACCCTAATGGAAGTTAAATGAACCATCTCACCATGTTCCTGTTTTTCTTTTCTTTTCCCAGAGCAACCAGAGGCTAAGCAGCAGTCACTCCCACCAGCCTCTATCCACCCCAGTAGTCTCCATCACCACACCCAGTCTGCCTCACCAGAGTCTGGTCTACTCTGGCATCGGCTCGGCCTACACTGACAGTACCTGAACATTATTACTATTTGTGTTGTATTGTTCTCTTGAGGACCCAAAGAGGACACAATATAGTTAGAAGACATTGAAATATTGCTGCTTTATTTCATTTATTTCTTATTTTATTTAATGCATAAGTTACATTGTTATTTTTGGGCAGTTAAATTCCAAATGGCATAAAGAATAGCACAGTACAACATCCACCATATTACTCAAAGCACCTTGAAGTGTTGTGCTGTTACTGTACAGACATTGTTAATGTTATGAGACACAGAAAAAGGCAGCTGCTTTGAACATTGTTTAGGGTTAAACTAACTACATTTGAACTGTGTACTGTGTAAAAATAAATAGATATACGTACATGGATATTTAAAGATAATTAGTGTCTTTCAATATGATGATTTTTCTCCAAAATCATCAACAAAATTCCATCATCCTGGGGAAGAAGAGCCCCTGTGCATTTGGGTCACTGGACACTAACCACAGTTCTTTGTAATACTTGGAGCAGTTGACTGATTCTGAAGCTGCATCATACTGACTCAGAGTATCAATCAAATGTTTTCTGTGTGAAATTGTGTCCTCTTTGTCAGATTACTCCCAGAACAGTGCGGAGCTGTCGGGCTTCAGCTCTCCTGCAGTCCTGCCTCTGGGGTCCAATGCAGCATGGCAGCAACACCGGCTGGGCTCGCTGGGGTACCTGTCACACTTGACTTTTCTCTTTTAATGACAAATAACAAATTTTACTGTTTCACAGTTTAACACAGTTTTGTTTGGTGACATACTTGAAGATCAAATGAAATACAAAACGGGTAGACAAAAGTGCTAGGGAGTTTTTCAGAATCTGTTAAAAGTCTATTTTTTGAGAGTTGGGAGCAGCATGTGATTGATTACTGTTGGCAACTTCACACTGATGAGTTTGATGGAAGAGGAAGTACTCGGCTCATTTACTTAAATTAAAGTAGCAATACGAGTCTAAAAATATCCCAGGACAAGTTAAAGTGAGACACTGGGTACATCCCAAGTCTCTTATATGTATCCATGTTTCCCTCACTTGTGCTTTTTCTTTGCGTCTTTGTCCCATCCACATTAGATGCAAGGAAAAGATGTCAGGAGAGAGGGAACAAGGAAATGTGTTAGAAATATCAGAAGTCCTTATGTTAACTCCGTTACATTTACTCTTATCTTTCACCTGAAGCATCCAACCACCAACTGATTTCCAGTAAAGGGGTGTGTTGGTCCATAAGAGACTTTCATTAAGGATGGTGTGTCATGCATTGACTGTATATAAAAACTGGACAAACCCACTGTGATATCACCCATTGGTTTTCTGAAGAGTGGTTTTACAGCTCAAATGGGACTCTCATGACAACTAGCACCCAGCCATCTATGGCAGGACCCTCCAGCCTGTCACTCAAAGGGGCCACGCCCTTAATTAATGTCTAACTTTTAGTCTTAATATAATTTAAACTGGTGAGTTATAAAAAATTCACCCCCTGTACAGTTGTCATACTTATAGAGACCAAAATATTTTTTGTACCAGGCTGTAAACATGTTTATTTCTTCTGTAAAGTTGGGCATTTTAACTTGGGAGCCTCTGGAGATTGACTCCTTTTTGGAGCCAGCCTCAAGTGGCCCTTTGAGGAACTGCAGGTTTTGGCACTTTATCATTAGCTTAATTTCTCAGCCTTGGAGGTTGCTGCTTGGTCTCATGTATCCTGAATTATCCCTCCTATATTGTAAGAGACTTGGAATGTGTGTGCTCTGTATAACATCTGCCGAGCACTGGCCACTGTGGCTACAAGTGGCCATTACAGTACAATGGTGAATGTGAAAACATAGTAAGACAGGAGCTCAAATAGAGAAGAGTGATAAAAGTAGTCTGTTACACAATAGTACTTATTTTTAATTAGTTAATATTAGCCACCATAGGCTACTCTCACACCAGACTCAATAAGGCTGTAGCAGTAAAACCCCTGAGTGTACTGTACTACACTGAGCAAGAATTCGCTTTAATTCTTACAAGATCAATTTTTCATTTGTAACAGGAACAATGTGTTATCTCTTCTTTCACAATGCACATAGTACTACTTGTATTCGGAATTTTACTCAAGCTAGCATGACACACAAAAGCAAACCATTCTGCTCCTGTACACTCCACCCAGCCCTTCACCTACAGTACATCCTCGACCTGTACTTTGTCTCAGCTAATGCAGGAATTTTGGATCAGGTTTAGTAGACCAGAAGGGCGTTCATGTAACGACTGACAGCCATGAGGCCCCCACTCCTGACTTTGGCCTTCTGTGGTTGGTTAGAAAGGCAAGGCTTGCTCAGATATCAAAGCTTGGGTCACAGAAGCCTTTGAGCAAAAATTTTATAAATTACATTATTAGATTATTGTTGCTAATCCATTGTGTTCATAGCATTTCACTATTGTTGTTGGTCATGGTGAAGCTAATTTTGACAAATTTGTTTGCTCTCTTAAAATGCATCATTTTTATAAGCTTATCTGTAAAATAATCAACTTTATATTCGTGAATCTTCAGAAAAAGGAGAAAAAGTACAGTATTTACCTCTTAATTGTAGTGGAGTGGAAGTATAAAGTGGTATAAAATGGAAAGTAATGTACAAGTAACTTGAGTAAATGTTCTTACATTGCACAACAAGGCAAGGTTCAGTATTACAGAGCTCTCTTTTCTTTCACAGACATGTTAGTTTCCCACTTGGTGGGGCCTTCACTCCACAGCCACGACCATAAACGGTTCTCTCCTCTGTGTTACTTGACTGTAGGTCAGGGAGCTCCAATCTCTCCATCAACGCTGACAACATAAACATTAAAGCCGAGCCGATCTCCCCAACTCACGACCACCTCAGCCAGTCAGGGTATATGACCCAGGCTCATGCCCCTCCTCATCTTCATTGCTCCACTTCCCCATCTGCCCGAGCAGAGATGGGCACATCTCCTGCAGACAGCATCAGGTCCTCCTGCAGCTCCCATGAGGGTGGCAGTGACCTGGAGGATCAGCAGCGGCTGGACTTACACTCTGTCCCTGTGAGTCGGGCAGAGTGCAGGGAGAGTCTGACAGTCAAACGAATGCGAATGAACAGCTGGGTGACCGAGAGCCTGCAGCCACATGATGACACAACACCAGGGAAAACATAAGAAGGACACTGTTATGTAAAGAATATGCATATTTTATTGATGTGTTGTGTTATTTTTCATTATCTCTGCTTTATTGTCAGTCAGATTTTTTTAGAAGATTTATGTAAATAGTTTGGAAATTATGTGTCTGTCAGAAATAGCTCATCAACATTCAGAAAATCTTCAGTGGTGCTTAAAAAATAATATGCTCTTCTTTTGAGATATTACTCTTTTTAGGCATCATATACTGATAATGCGGGTGCAATTGCAGTACAAGTTATCATTTTCTTATCCAGTGGAATGCAGTGAAGTACACTGAAGAATGGGGGGTAGTGATGTGTGTCTCGGTCTTCTGGCTTTTGATGGTAAAGCAGTGAAGTGCTTGTGAATGTCACCCAGTTCATTTCTGATCTTCTCAGGGTGTGAAACATTGAATGAGTCCAATGTGAAAGCAATACTCCCTCCACGTCATCATCCCTTGTCATTATAGAAACACTTATTTATATCAGTCAAAGCAGTATGCTGTTTTTACAGTTGTTGTTTGGATGTGCTTTTACAGTGTGAACAGAACAAGATGATATTTCTTTCAGATTTGAAGCTGAAAGTCATGGCTATTCTGTTGGTTCTACCAAAATATGTCTTTATGTTTTTGTATGTAGTATCTATAATATATATTACTTTTTGCAGTAACTGTATATTGTTAATCTGTCTATTGGTGAAACAGGACACCACCGAATTTTCCAAAAATTATATTTTTATGGAAGAGTTTTAGTCTTACCAGGCATTATTTTTTCATGAACTGGCTGGCGGATGCATCTGTTGTGTCCCCTATGCTTCACTGGTTTGAAAACAGGTTCCTAAAAATATATTGAATGAAAATGCATTCTAGAAAACATCTTTTCTAGCTAAACAAATCTTGCTCGACAGAACTAGTGTTTGCAAAAGGAGAACACAATAATTTGAGGTAAAGATGATGAAAAGAAAAAAGGTAACTATTATGTGCCCAGTGGTCTCAGCATAGAAACGTCTGGCATGATAAGGTGTGAATACAGCTTCTAAACAGATCAAGTCACCATAACATGACAAAAGTTGCACTTAAGGTGTATGAGTGGCTGTTTGTACACGAGGTGCATTTTAAAGGCACCATGAGGAAGTTAAATTTAGAGAAGCAGACAGAATTACATTTGAGCAGAAATCCATATCATACTGAATATTTATTGGTTATGATGTATTTATCATTTTATGAGCTTATTGCAGTTAAAAAAATAAAACAAGTTAATGTACATGCAAATCTTAAACTACAGCTAAATGTGGTTACCTGAAATATATAGATGTACACAACACTGGCACTTTTATCATAGAGATCAATGTACATCTGTATGATACTGTAGTAAGACAATGAATTATAAATTTACAAGGATTGTGAGGGACAGATGATTGTGTGACTGAGCAGTAAGTGATTAAAGTGGAGAAAATGAAACATGGGTTCAAGGCAACATGTGTGGTGAAGAGTGCAAAAGCTGCGAGAGGAAACAGTGGTTCATCTGAACAGTCATGTGGTTGGGAAGTCATGAGCGAATAGAAAGAGACAAAAAGAGCTTAGCAAAAGCTTTGTAACATGTTCCTTGTGTACTTTTTTTCAGAAGAAAGAAAATATATTTGGGGTTCATAAACCCTTAGATGTAGTAGAGGAGTGTCATCACAATATTCAGAAAAGTAGTGCTGCATTGTAATGATACCAGCATTAAAAAAGATATCTGGTATGTGGATGATCCACATGCAGAGTTAACAATAAATGGAAAATGTGGTGACAGTGCAGATCACAACTGCAGGAAGTAATGGTGCTTGGTTCATACAGAAAAAATACTCTGCTGAGAGTCTGTTTAAACAACAGCCATTGGTAACTGCAGGATATGGTTCTTGTTACCATTGCTAACTCTGAGAGACGAGACAGTCCAAGTAACTACAAAACAGTGCTGATTTATTCAAAGGATCACAGGTAAAATTAACATTACACGCTCAGGTATCTTGCACCTCCAAACTGCTCGCAGGCAGATGTAAGATGAAAGACCCTGAACCCCCCAGGCCTATACATTATATCACCTCGGTTGGGCTAGCCCCATACTACACAGAAACGTCAACCGAGACGTCTCTGTTACCAGCTTTGCAGCTGGTCATAGCAGTAGTCAAAACATGAAGCAAATCAATGTGTGTGTGTCTGTTGGTTAAGTGGTGTGTAGCTAAAAACATTCTCACGACCTCTAGTAACATGTCGTGATATTAAACATAAGAACATATTATGGCTAAGGCTACAGTTATACACGTCATAATAATAATATTAAACACCCTGTCTGCTGACAGTCATCAACTCTTCTCTCTAGTTATCCTTGACCAGATGTACCCTGTAGAAACTCATAAGCATGACTAAGCATTTAACAGTCTAACTAGACATCCTATCTCCACTAAACATTTCTAATACATAAAGTATCTAACCAATTTCTGACTAAAAATACCTAACAGTAACAGATAGCATCAATACTGCATGTACTGCACTGGAATGTTATGATCATTAGACTACAATTGCCAGGAACTGTAGTGGTTCAATGAGGATGTACTAGGCCAGTCTGTACAAAGCAGACCTGGCCCATACCATGTGTGTTACATTGTAGAGAATATGTAAGGAAGCTTGAGTTACTATAACCCATCAGGAGGCAAGATGTGATTGAGATTGAGGAAGTTGAAGATGCAGAGGAGAAAGCTTATGTGAGAGGTGTAATGCCTCTCATATTCCTCAGGTTGATGGCATATGATCTCATGTTAACTGTCATGTATATAATAGTGAGTGAAAAGATAATATGATGGAAAATATGAAAAGTATTTAGAGGTCACTTGTGAGCATATTTACGGATATGGAAGAGTAATAGGGCCACTGCATCATTTTATTCTCAGAATTCTGACTTTAATCTCGGTGAGTGCCTTTGAGTCGTGATGGAGAGGAGCTACGTGCTGCCCATAAATGTCGGACGTAAGGGAATTTTTGCGTGGTCAAGGAGTCCCAGAAGAAGCAATTTCATTAATGGAAGAGGAAAAGGTGAGTGAAAAAGACGTGTGTTACTTTGGTGTCTGGCTTTTCCAAAAACACAGAAAATGCTATGGATATGATGATTGGTAAATGCGCACACAGGTTACGGTTTGTGATCTAGCATTAGTAGAAATTAACGTTGTGCATGTAACCATGTTAGATGTTGGTTAGAGTACAGTGTCTCGACAGTCTACCCATTATCGGGTGCCCAGAGGCCCAGCGGGTATTCTGTACAAGGGTTCTTACAACCCCAAACACCGGGCTGTAGGCTACTGCCCTGAAAAGCAGCGCCAGGTTGACCTCACTGATAGTCTGCTCTGTCCAAGCAGTGTGTGGACTGAGACTAGGGCACTCCGGTAAGAGCTTTTCCATCAAAATATATTCACCCCCATGGGTAAATTAGAATATTGCAGCAGAAAAATAGTGGGATTAAGCAAAAGGAAATGCATACAAACGCATTTAGCATTTACATTAAGCAATAAAAAGAGTAACATAACAGGAGACATTACATGATCTCTAAATATGTGCACAGGCATTTCACTACCTAGAATCCATTAGCCTGTCAATTTGTTTTTTTGAACTATAAACAGAACAGTGTTTAGGTTAAAGCTGTATTTTAAAACGATTTAGACATTTAGCTCCATTCACCCTCTTCCCCTTAAATCCGACATTTTTGGGCAGCAGGACTCAAAGGCACTAACTGAACTTGGATTCTTACAGGCACCCATACATCTGAGACTAAAGTCGGAATAAAAAAAAGTATGCAGTGACCCTAATACTCTTCTGTACAAAACAGGTAACATATGAATTATATAAAGCCAATTGATAAAATAAAAAGTCCTATAGGCCTACAGTATATACCATCTCACATCAGTTATAAATGTGAAAGTTTGATCTGTGATTAACACAGAAAACTAAATGGTTAAATTATTTTATATTAGGATTACTTCGATGGGAATGATGACAGCAAACATCTTTCTGAGAAAAGGACAGTTTAGCATGAGCTGAATTCTAGAACAAGAATCAGAATCAGAATCTGTTTTATTGGCCAGGTGTGTCGGACACATGAGGAATTTGACCCATTATGAAATGAGATAAATAGAAATAAAAATAGAGTAGTTAAAAATAGACACTTGTACGGATCTCTATAATCTGTACAAGGTATATTTACTGGTATTGCACTGAGGGTTATTGTCCAGTCATACTGTCGTGGGTTAAGTGTTCATCAGAGCGACAGCCTGGGGGAAGAAACTGTCCCTGTGCCTGGTTGTCTTAGTGCACAGTGACCTGTAACGCCGTCCAGAGGGGAGGAGTTCAAACAGATTGTGTCCAGGGTGTGAGGGGTCAGCAGTGATCCTCTCCACCCTCCTTCTGACCCGTGAGGTGTACAGGTCCTCCATGGAGGGCAGGCTCACACCAATGACCTTTTCTACAGTCCTGACTGTCCACTGAAGTCTGTACTTGTCCTGTTTGGTTGCTGAGCCAAACCAGACAGTGATGGAGGTGCAGAGAATAGACTCAATGATTCTTCTGTAGAACTGTATCAGCAGCTCCTGGGGCAGGTCGAACTTCCTGAGCTGGAGCAGGAAGTACATCCTCTGCTGTGCCTTCTTGGTGA